ACCATCTAGACTGGGACCAGCTGGGACTACCTGTCAGAGAAGACAGAGGGTAACGCAGGCCTGGAATTACTCAGAATAATGGAGAGGATTCTTGTTTGGTGGAGGTGGGGGATGACACCAGAAAAGGGAGATGTGGGTTAGCTAACAAGAGAGACTGGAGTGGATGAAGGCCAGAGACATCTCACCAGGAAGTTTCTGACCTTTCTATCCTGGGGTGGCAGAGAGAATCTTCTCCCACACTCCGTCTCCATTCCTCTGTGGGGATGGTTCTCCCTGAGGTGTGCCTAGGTAGGCAGGGGCCAGTGCTGAGGCCAGGCTGCAGGCAGCTCCCTGCTCAGCTCCGATGAGGGATGGCCTGGCCCTTCCCACGCCCCTCCTGGAATGTAGAGCTGCTCCTGGGAGTTGAGCAGAAGTGTGACTTTCCCTCTGGAGTCCGAGGTCAGTCAGCCTCCCAGGCCTGGGCCAGCATTCTTGATGGGGAGCCAAAACAAGCAAGGGGAGAGGGGCTGGCGAAGCTCAGAGGCCTGGCGAGCCCCCTGCATCTGATCGCCCTTTGCTTTCATTCCTTGTGGGGAGGAGGTGTGCTGATGCCAGGAATTCCACACTTGGAGGACAGGGATGTAAAAACCAAGGTTCTGCTGTGTGGAGCCGCTGTGCTGGTCACCTTAGATGCTGCTAACAGTGTCACAGGGCTCACTCCTTGAGGCAGTACAGGGCTTGAAGGGAGGCCCAGGGGGCTGTAGGGGGACAGAGGCAGGCAGCCCACAGCCCAACTGGGATGCAGGGGTGGGGGTGTGGGGAGGAGTGGGATGAGGGAGGGAGTGGTGTCCTAGGACCTATAATACTGGAAACAGTGACCACCATTACCGAGCACCTCCTGAATGCCAGCACTTCCCAGCAGGATTCGTCCTGACACAACCCACGGGCGAGCCGACACTATCTCACCTCATAGATTCAGAACCTCAGGCTCAGGGAGGGTTAACAAGGTCCCCAAGATCCCACAGGGGAGGCAGGCTGATCCCAGGCCTGTCTGTCTCCCGACCCAGTGCTCTCACCTCACTGTGCTAGAGTGCATCACACTGGCAACACCTGCTCCAGGATGGGAGGCCGGGATGCCGCCTCCCCCACCCCATGAGAGATCCCCCCAGGATGCTTCCCTTCACACAACCAGCCTCTTCCTCCCTCCAAGGGCTGGAGGGTGTAGTCCCTGTTGCTCCACCTAGAGGCGGGGAATTGAGGCATGGGCAAAGGGGCCTCCCCGTTGCACAGGTCCAGGGGGGCACACCCACACAAACTTCGGGTGAGCAGCACTCCCAGGGTCCCTGCTTGCTGCGGGCAGAACGTGGACGTGAGCTCAGGCCTGTGCAGCTGACTCCTAGGCAGGCCCTTTGGACTTCTCAGAGGGTAACTCTCAGAGAGTCTCAGGCTCTCCATTCAGAGAGAAAGGCTTAACCTCATGCAGGCCCTAGCCAGTGGGAGAGGGGGCTGAGGAAAGGGGTCCAGATCCTGAGGCCTTCTCTGTTGGTGCAGCCGACCCCAGGCTTCTGGAAGATTCTCCTCCCTGGGTGCATGTAACGCCAAGGTCAGGACTCTGTTCCCATAGTGGATGCCTGGGATATTCATGTTTTCCACATCCCTGTGTAGGAGCCAAAACCAGCTTCCAAGAGCCAGGAGGGTTGAGCCTGAAGGGAGAAGCAAAGATTCCCTGTTCCTGGAATTGGACAAAGGGACAGTGTGTAAGTCAAGGACCCAGCTTTTCTCTCCTTGCTCTTCTAGGTGCGCTTGGGTTCCCTTCCCTTCCCTCCTTTCCCCCCTCTTCACCCAGCCTTCCTCTCTTCACCTCCCTTCTCTTCTCTTCTCTGCCTGGCTCCTCCCCCGCTCCTCCTTCTGACAATTTGCCCACAGACAAGCTGTGATGCTCTGGAATCAGACCAGATTCACACTGTGGCTCCACTGCTCACAGGCTGTGTGATTCAGGGCTAGTCACTGCCCTCTCTGAGCCTGACTTCCCTTATCTGTAAGATGGGATGATAATACCTACCTGATGGGCTGTTTGTGGGGTCAGTGAAATCACTATGCTAGAGGGCATCACACTGGAAACACCTGCTCCAGGACCATTTGTCCATGAAAACCCCTGGGTGTAGATCCAGGGAAATTCTTAATGAAAATAAGAGAAATCTTTTGGTTGTTGAGAGGCCCTACAAAATGGGATAAAATTACTTCATCTCTTGGAGTCTTGGTTTTTCTCTCCTATGAAGTGCAAGTAAATGCTGGGACCTACCATGGAGAGTAGCTGTGAGGATTCAGTGATCTAGTGGATGTCCTCAGCACATAGTGAGTGCTCATTGTATCACTTGTTATTGTTATTATCTTTGCAGAGCCTTGTTTTGCCTCCAGGAACCCAGGGACTAAGGGAAAGAGAAGCATCCATACAAAACTCCTCCGAGGCCTGCTGTGCCTCAGGCAGCAGGGGCGGTGAGGGTTAGCGTGCAGGCTCGGGCACGGAAGCATTAGAGGAGAAATATGATGTGCCTGGGAGCATGGCTGGGGCATTAGTGAGAGTCTGAACAGCAAGGAGAAAGGATGCCGAAATTACATCACTAAATGATCTACAGCCTGTATGCCTTGACTTCCATCTGTCCCAGCAGCCTCAGAACCACACTGCTCTGAACATGTCCGTTTGTGGCTCTGCCTTCTCCTCCAGATTGGCTGGTCCTTGAGGGCAAGGCCATGTCGGACTTCGTTTTGTATCAAGTGTGGACATGTGACCGAGATGGGTTTAGGGACTGGGCTTTGATCCAAGGGGTCAAAGGAAAGACAGACCTTGAACTTTTCCTGAAAGTTTTTTAAAAGGTTACTAAGCTGGCATGACATGAGTTAGGAGCCACTGGAGATCATCTTGGTTACCACAAAGAGAGAGCATGCCTGAGAGTGATGTCAACCCAGAGGAAAGCATGATGACATCATGTGAACACCTGGATCCAGCCACTCCAGAAGCTAGAATTGACCTGTTCAGTTCTGGGAGTTGTTTCTTAAGTTGTTTTTCTTGAGTTGGATTTCAATCTCTTACAACCAAGAGAGCCTAGGTCAATATGGTCTTTCCCCCCTATATTAAAAAAAGTCTTGATTATCAAATGGCACCTATTAAAAATGTCTGCTGGCCCAGCATAAGTGGGTGGTATATTTCAGAGGCACATTTTGCCTTAACTCCGGAGCAGGCATGCCGAGGGTTCAATCCTCCTGCCACCTGGGAAGGACCCTACTGCCCTTGCTTCTAAGATGAGGAGACAAATGTTGTGAAGATTCGTTGAGAGTAATTGTGAAAATCATCATGTCTTCTGCTTAATAAATGCTGGTTCATTTCTCTTATCCCATTGATCTTAAAACTCAGTGTCAACAAGCCAGGAGGAGCCATTTTCTTTGTTAGAATTTCCAACTGTGCTGTGACTTCTGTGATCCAGTCATGCCTTATGGAGAGCTGATATTTAACTTCCGGCAATTGTAAATCTAAATATGGGTTCACACAATACCAATGTCCCCCACCCCCATCCCCTCACACCAATACCACTGCAAGACTCCATCCCAGAAATCTGGGCAATAAAGCCTGGCCTGGAGGAAACCCAACCAAACTGGTCAGCCTGGATGGGCCTCCACTAGAAACCTGCAGGCCCTTATCTCCACTGTGACTAAATTTGGATCTCAAACTCAGTCAGCTTGGGAATTCCTGACGAATTCCAGCAAGGGCCAGCTGCTATTGTTTTTTGCAGAGAAGGGAGATAATTCTTCCAAGAAGAAATTTAAGTTAAAAGCAATAATTTGTCATTATACAAAACTTGGAAAACACAGGGAAAAACGTCACCAATCACCCAGACAGAGCCCCCAGGGACATTTTGCTTATTTTCTGTTGGTCCTTCCAATACATGGTCAAGTTTGAGGGCTGTTGGACTTTTTTTTTTTTTACAATCACAACATTGGAGTGTATGTTCAGTTTTGTATCTTGATTTTCCCACCATATTGTAACATAAACACATCTCCATGCTATAATGTCTTTGCTGAGGGCCAGATGCCATGCCTGGCACATGATCAGTATGATCTCAATAATGTTCACACCCACCCTAAAACTAGGAGCTCTTATTCTTCTTGCTTTACAAATGAGGAAACTGAGGCACAAAGCAGTTAAGTGTCTCACTCAGTATTGTGGTGAGGACCAGGCTGTCTGGCTTCCCCGCCCACGCTATTAGCCAGGTATGTGTCTGCAACATGGCTTATTCAACCTTTCTTGGAGGGACCCGTTGTTTTCCCCTACCCTGCATTCCTCCTTCACTGTTCCTATTTCCCCCGGGAACTGAGATCCTCCACTTTCAGTTTGAGGGGGGCAGCTATTGGGCGGAGTTGAACACATGCCTTGGGTCTGGCCCATCAGAGCCCCGTATCTCCCTGGCCTCCATGATTGGTTCAGGAAGGGGCATGTGATCCAGGTTGGTCCACGCAGGAATCGTTCAACGGCAGGTTGTATAGTGTGGACCTGCAGCCAGCTGCCCCGAGAACCTGCTGGGATGGGGCCAGAACAAAGGAGGGCAGAGCTAGTGAGGGGAGAGACCCAATCTTGTCTCAACATTTCAGATTCTGGATGCAGTTGTACCTGCAGCGGGCTCTGCTGTTCTGACACTGGACTTCTCCATTACCTGAGCCCTTTCATCCCTTTAAGCAAGTTGGATTTCTGTTACTTGTAACCAAGAGTTCTGGGAAGTACACCCTGGTTGTTGGACATTGGGGCAGCTTATAGTTTTTTTGCCATTATAAATAATGCTACAGTGAACATCTTTACATATAGAACTTATCCTTGATTAGAATTATTGTGATATTTTCTCAGGAGCTACTAGGCAAAAGGCTCAAACGTTGTTGGGGCTCTGTAAACATTTTGCCAGCTATTTCCTTAAGGATGGTAACGGCTTCACCTTCACTCCCCAGCAGTGTATGGAGCTGTGGTTTTGAAAATTGAGTTGTGAGACTTTCTTTGAACAAGTTAAAAGTTGTATTTGTTTTTTAAACAGTAAAATTATGTTAATATAAAACTGATAAAAACAGACAAAACTGAAACACACAACACAAAACACAACACACAGGACCAGTGCAAACCCTTCCCAACCAATCCCCCAGGTTTTAAACCCTTTATTACAGATCCACCAAAGATTAGACTGTATTGGAGAGGTCACAGTACTGAATCAGAAAAGTAATAATAATAGACATTGTTTAAAAGGTCTGTACACAGGTAGCTGGGGGTGGGATGAGGGACTTCATCACTCCAACATCAGCAACATAATGCAGAGAGGTTTCTGTGATTATCACAGATTTCTAGAACACTACCATGTACGCTAGTCCCCTGCCCACTTTCTAAAAGTTGCTTTTAAAAAAGATTAAAAGTGCACAGACGCTTTCATAAGGCACAGACAGATTGTTGTACAAGTCATCTCATTAGGGATTTGGAAAAGACAGTGGGGCAATTAAATACCAAGAACTGCCAGGAGGCCACGTGTTCCTGAGCCGGTGTGCGTCTGCCAGAACTGGGGCAGAGACGGAACCAAGCAGGGGAAGTCACTGCCTCTCCAAGACTTCACACAGCCCCATTTCTCAACTGGAACTGACTGGGGGTTCTCTGGGGACTTGGGGACTGATTTCCAGCAACCAGTCCCAAGGGCTGAAAGTAGCAGGTAGCCAACTGCGCCCCCCACCCCTCCATCTCCCTGGCAGGACCTGAGGGTGATCATCAACCAGTGATGCCTTTGGGGATTCTGCCCAAGGCCATTGGGGCAGCTGCTCACTGTAACAAGGTGCCTGGCATCTCTGACACAGAGGCTTTTCGAAGCAAGCAGGAGGCTCTGGGGAAGGAAAGCAGTTGTGCGCACTTGCCAAGATAGAGCCCTGAAGCAAGAGAATGGCTAAGAAGGCCCAAAGGATTCTCCCCAAATGTCTCATCCTCTCATTGTCTTTATCTCTGAAGGCAGAGCTGGGGCACTGTACTCTCAGACCCCAGCACGCCACACCTAGTAGGCACTCAGCAGAGGTGGGTTGACTTTATGTGCACGTGTAGGTAGTATTTTACCAAACCCCTCAACACACGTAGTTTGATTTCTGATTTATTCAGTAAACATTTAATGAGAAACTACCATGTGCTAGTACAAGGACCTGACACCAGAGGGGTCAAATAAGAGTTCATAAATCTGTCCATCTCCTGCTCTGGACCGCAGGCTCACTGCAGGCTCTGTCTTTACTCCCAGTTCCCAGCCCCGTGTCCAGAACACAGGCCTGCTGACGAGTGGGTGTTAAATGACTGAGAAAGTGTTGCTGCAGTGAGGAGAACTGTTACCCAGAAAGTCCAGGTAGCTAAATTCCAGAAACTCCCAGTTCTGGGAATGGACTAGAAATAGTTTGTTTTCAACTTGGAAACAGCCCAGTTTCCCTGGTGATCCTCAGGCACAAGACCACACACCAAAGGTGGGTATTCTTTGGTCTCCCCCATCCTACCCCTGGAGTCCCTGCTAGGAGGGGTGGTGGTCATGAGGCTCAGGAAGCTGGTGGGACACGGCCCTCAGCCCCCTCCAAAGCTGCCCTACATGGGAGCCCCCAAAACAGGAGGCCCTGGGGTCAGATGTAAGACCCCACACAGCTCGGTTCCTCTGGGAGAAGGGGGCAGTGGGCAGGTGCGCCTGGAAAGGACACTTGTCCTTCTAGTGTATGGGTGGCAGGAGGACCACAGTCTGGGGCTGGAATCCTCTACATAAGTGCAGGAGCCTGGCCTCTCTCCACAGGGCTGCCCACGTTCATTTTAAACAAGAAAACTCAGCCAGTCGAGCTTTCTGCGATTTGGGGCCAGGCGGTGGAGGGTGTGGGATTTGGCACCAGAGACTCCTGGATTTGCACCCCAGCCCTGCCCCCTCCCGGGCTGCAGGCCTAACTCACTTCACTTACAGGACCTCAGTTCTCTTACCTGCCAATGGAGATTGTACCGTAGTTCATCAGTTCTAAGCAGCACAGGTTTTTTACATTTAAGTATCTCTGATTAGAATGAGTTGTATAGCTGTGGCATCTTACAGTCAAAATTGGCAGTGTTTTTCCTCAGCAGTACATAAAATGGCGTGTTTGATAATCGGTGGTGTCTTAGATATGACCCTATGTGGTAATAAGACCTGGCTCGCGGGATTGATGCATGAGACCTTCCCAGCCCTGTGCTGAGGTGCACAGTGATGCAAAATACACAAGAGTGGTTCCCTTTCCTCTGCCTCTTCTCCACCAGAACAAAGAGGGCCTATGAACAACTCCCCTGTAGCACTGAATCAATCAGCTTAGAGCATCCTGAAATGTCTGGTTTTTAGAAGATAAACGCCCCCTTAATTCCTCTTGAAAATGGGGAGGTTATTTATAGCAGCTGTAGAGCAAGTTAAACAGGCCACTGGCTCCCTTCATCTCAGGTAACAGGTCACCAGGGGTGTGGCCTGGCCTACCTGGGGTCCAGGCCCTCAGTCACTTGCTTCCTGGTGGTAGCTATACATGACCCGGGCTGGAACCCTAGTAGGCAGTCAGAAAGGGCAAGGGGCAGGAGAGAGACACCCCCGGCCCACCTCCCAGCTGCTGAGACACCGGGAGCTTGCGTGTGGCTCCATCCAGGCAGTAGGTGCTGCCTGGAGAACCACAGTCCTGGGTGCAGCAAGGCCTCTCACACAGGGCCTGTGCCTGCCCACACCTGGCACACTGGGGAGATGGAAGGTGACCAAATTCAGCTGTGTCCTTGGTGCTGCCTAGATTCTCACTCTCATTTTGGCAAATGCTGGAGTTCCACTAGCTCCCCAAAAGATTCTGCTGTAAAATTAAAATGTGGGTGTGTTCCCCAAACTCACTAGGTAAAAATAACCAGTCAGGGGTCCTTGTAGGGCCAAGAGTGGAGTTTCTGAAGTTGAGATAGGTCAGAACACTGTGACCACTTTCAGGCAGAACAGCAGTTGGTCCAAGACCTGCAGCATCAGAAGAGCAGAGACCAACCGGCTTCAGGGACTTCATTTGTTGAGGGCTCAGCAGAGCTGGGCTCCAGGCTCCCAGACACCCAACGCACATTCAGCAGACGAGCAGATTAGGAGTTGTAAAAAAATGGTACCTGCTCTCTGCAAGGTGTCTTGGGCTTTTTCAAATGTTGTGCTGGTCCTCCCAAGGGCTCTGGAGTGGGCAGGTACTAGGCTTCCTCTTGGAAAGATTGGGAACTGGGAATCAGAGAGGCCCAGGGACTTCCCCACAAGACAGTGCAGAGGTGGGGCCCAGAACTGGGGCTAGGAAGGGAGATGCAGGCCTGGGCCAGCCCATCCACCCAGGTGTGGCCTGGGAGTCTGCAGAGATGGGCCTGGGCAGGGATGAGGGGGTGGAGGCAAGGCCAGGGTCACAGGAAGTGCCCAGCACACAGCCCTGGGAGGTGGGGAGTCCCAGTGTCAGCATGTTCAGTTACTGCCTCACTTACTAACTTCCTAGTGATCAATTAATATCTTAGTGATCAGCAGGGGAACAAAAGCCGAGATGCAGAACAAGGAGCAGTGGTGCGGCCCTGACTCTCCCTCGGACTCTGACAGCAGATCAGCCCGGTGATGCACGCCCAGAGCCACTGGTGAATGCCAGACCCAGGCCTACACAGATGTGCAGACCTGTCTGCTCGACGGGGGGGCCCTTCCAACTCTGCATGAGTCACCCTTCTCTAGGATCCTTTCCCTCCCCCAGGAAAAGAGAACCTGCCGCTTGTCTCCTCCTTGGGGAGGGCAAGGGGGCTACAGTCTAAGAGCATCTAGGGCCCGGGTCACACCGAGGTGTGGTGTGCTTAGGATTAGGCTGTCTAGGGGGTGAAAGGGTGAAGGCTTTGGGGTGACACCACCCAGAGCTCTAGGCAGCAGCACCCATCAGAACTCCTCTTGAGGACTAAGAAACTAAAAAAGCAAATTGTTCTTTTATGTTCTCCGCCCACCTTCTCCCCATGGAGCTGTTGCTTTGGAGCTGTAAACAATGAGCTATTTTTTCCTCCCCTTAGAAAATCTGAGTGTTCCCTTTCTATACCATCCAAGGGAGTTCTGTTTAGGTGCAGGTTTTCATATCTTCAAAACCAGCTGATGTCACAGTCCCAGAAAGTGAACCATTTCTAGCCACGCTAACTTCTGGGCTCTGGATTGCACATTCCTTCATGTTAAGTAACCTCCTAAAGCCAGGATCCCATGATAAATACCTGTGCATTCTCTCTCACTCATTCTCACACATTCCTCGTCTCTCCTCTGACCCCTCCCTCCCACACACTCAATCCCACCCAGCCAAAAGCATTGCACTGAGCATGCTGTTTCCCAGCTGAGGGGTCACCAAAGGACAGGGTGGCCTGCCAGGCAGTTCCTGAGCTTGCTCTTGGGACGGCCTCTTGGGGGCATAGCACTTTTGAGCCAGAAGCAGCCCCTGCTGGGGCTCAGACCCACAGGGCCTCATCTCCATAACTGTCATGCCTTGCCCACCATTGAAGAATGGCAGACGAGATGGCTGCTCTTGACTCCCTGGTGGCCATGGTGGTTGCTCAGCCCAGAGGGCTTCAGAAAGGTGACTGTGCTCTGGCCAAGGCCTGTCAGTGGGCCAGGCTATGGCCTGTAGATCTTGATGACGTCCTTGATGGGCTGCCGGCAGATGGGGCAGCAGGCCCGGGTCTGCCTCTTGAGCCGCAGGCCACAACTGTGGCACAGGCACATGTGTCCACACGTGTAGATAACTGTGTCCACTTCACCGTCAAAGCACACCGTGCACTCGCTGTTCTTGCTGCCTGCCGGCTCTGGGGGGGAGAATACGGGGGACACCGGGGGGCTCAGCGGGGAGCTGGGGGCTGTCACTGCAGAAAGGGAGAATAGGACAGACCTTAATAATGTGGTTCTCAGGTGGGTTGTGCTGGGGCAACCCCAGAAGGCAGAGGTTCTGTGGCGGAACCCATAGGGGAACGATTTTGGGAGGCACCAATTTTGGTTTCTCTTCTAGGTTTTGCCCTTCCCCACCCTCACTTCCCCAAGCATCAAGCACTGGTATCACCCTTTGGGATGCCACATCTAGATGCTTCTCCTCCCTCTAGCTGAGGAAGGAGAGGATGCAGGGGGTTGAGGTGGCCAGCCTTGCTGAGCCCCAGGAAGGAGCCAAGCCAGCTGCCAGCCCGTACCCCCTGTAGGGTTTGCCCTTCCTTACCCAGAGATGACTCAGATGCTGAAGAGGACTGGTTGACACTGAAGGCCATGTCGGAATCACTATCATCCTGGGAGCCGCTGAGGGACCCCGATGGGGATGTGGTTGCAGGGCTGGACTGAAGCGTGCCTGAGAGCAAAGAGACTCCATCAGGGGTGGTGGGAGCTTGGCCCTGCTCTGCTGGTCCCTGGCTCTTCACTGCTTTGCATCTCAGCTTCCCCACCTGCTTAATGGGAGGACTAAAGCTACCTCACAGGATTCTGCAAAAGATGTACTGATGGAATTGCACATGTGTGGTGGAGATCTGTTCGTTGCCTGCCCAGCCTTCATTCCCATTTGAGAAAGAGAATCAGGATTTTGTTTTGGGGTAACACTTCACCCTCCCTCACATGATCCAACAAAGGCCAATGGGGCCTTCCCAAGGATTTCCACTACAACTGTTGGAAAAGAAGGCGCCCATTCCACAGGGAGGTAAGCCTGGCACTGTTGGGCCTTCGTTTGAGAGTGAAACCAACTCAGAGAAAAGTGAGATTTCAGATCGGATCCTGATGCTATCCTTTCAGCACCTACATCCAGCTGTACCTGAATCCATCTGATATAATCCCAGACTTCTGAGGTATGTGTACCCATACACTTTCCTTTTGGCTTAGGGCACTTTGAGTGAGGTTTTGTCACTTTTAGCTACAAGATTCCTGACAAGCAGTGTTTAACATGGATGAGTTTTCTTCCCCCAACTCATTGCCAGTTCAGATAATAATGGGTTATTTCTTGGGTGAAGAAAGATGCCCCTCCCCTTCCTTTACTTGAGGATGGATGGACAGACAGTGCAGTACCAGGCCTGCTGTCAAGGAGCCATCAGGAGGGCAAGTCCCTGGCCTCCAAAAGCAGTCACTTCCTTTCTCCTCCCTTCTCTTCCTGACCTCTCAAGGGCTCCTCCTGGTTCCTCTGGAGGTGCTGGGAGGGGTTGAGAAGGACTCTAGGCTCAGTTCTTGCAAAGCCCCAGTGGGAACTTGGGCAACTCACCTCAGGGTGATATGATGACTATGTCTGATTGTCCCTAAAAGAACAAAAACCTACCAAGCAGCCAGCACTACCTGCTGTTGTTCCTCTGCCCTCAAACAACAACAGTCACTGTTATTTCTATTACTACTTATTAAATAAGCTGTAGGTGGCAGGCACCTGCTGAAAGCATTATATGTACCTCACATTTCATTTCATCCTCACGACAACCCCAGGATGCAGGTAATTACTTCTTTTCTGCACAGAAGGAAACTGAGGCTCAGAGATGACCTGTGATTTGCCCAACAGCTTCCTGGCTGACCAGTTATGGGATTGGGGCAGTGCTTTATTCTCTCTGTGCTTCACTTTTCTTATCTGTAGATGGGATAATGGTATTTGGTTTCATAAGGGCAGTGGGAGGATAACATTGACTGAGGTGATGTACAAATGTTCATCGGTTCTGTTATCATTTGGGCTTTACTTCTTGAACCATGGAAAATGGAGCTGTGCTCTCTGGGAACCTCCCCTGACCACCACCTGCAACTCTACCAAGTGGGCGAGGAGCCCCTCTGCCCTGAAAACACCACAAGAAGAGCTCTCCATGTGGCTATGCCTGGTCTGTGTCTTGTCCTCCGCTGTGCCCCGTCTTGGAGCCCCAGGGCCTCGGCCACAGCTGGTGGGTGCTCGTGTCTATTTGTAGCATGAATGAAGGTAAGAAACATCAAGCCTCCATTCCATTTTCTGTGGATGGTGTTATTTTTATTTCCTCTTTTAAGTGTAGTTGTATTTGCCTTTTCTCCTATGCATTATAGGAGAAAATAAGTAATAAATCATAACGTGAATAAAAATCGCATGGGCCATTTACCGGCTGCATAAAGCCTGCCAGGCCAATTACTTTGGTACTTAGTTGGGTGTGGACAAATTGTGTTCCAGAGAGCAATCTGGGCATCCCAGGGGCACCCGTAAGAAATGCACCCAGGCCCGCTCCCCCGGGGAACTTACCGAGGAGGCGCAGCTGGCCCGCGGCGCCACCGCGCACGGCAAAGAAGGCCCAGAGCGCCTGCGTGGTGTCGACGCACAGTAGGCGGCCACGCGGGCGCCCGTTGACGCCCAGGAGCACGTCGCCGCCGGGCCGCAGCGTGAAGCTGAGTGCGTCGCCGCCGCTGGGCACCGGTCCGACGTGCGCCACCACCCAGTACTCCTTGCGGTCAAGCAGCGCGTCGGGGTCGGCCGGCAGCTCGGCGGGCCGGAGTCCGCCAGGGTCACACGATGTGATGCCGAAGGCCAGCGAGCCGGGCGCCGCCAGCCCGGGGCGGCCCACCTCCACGAAGAGGCTCTCGCCGGGTCGCAGCGGGCGCTCGGAGAAGACAAGTGTGCGGCCGACTTCAGGCCGCGGCGCACAGGCCACTTTGCGGTCGGCGGACAGGCTGACGTCAGAACCACGCGTCGCGTGAAAGCGCAGGTCGGCCTCAAGCAGCGCGGGCGATGACGAGGGCCGCGTGCGCTCACGGGGCCCACACGGGATAGAGGCGGCCGCGGCGTCTGCAGGCTGCTGGCCTGGGCCACGGCCCAGCGCCAGGTGGCCTAGCTTGGCCACCACCTGGTTGTTCTCGAGCTCGTTGTTGTCGAAGTTGGCTGCGTCGTGGCTGCTGGACGGCACGCAGGCGCTGAAGTGGGCCTGGCTGAGGCGGGTGGACGTCAGTGTGTCGGCAAACGCACTCTCTACTCGAGAACAGAAGATGGGCTGGTGAGGGTGCGGCCCATGCTGGAGCCCCCTGCCCACATGGGGGGGCCTACCCAGGGCCTGGACCTACCCATGACTCAAGTAGCCCCCCACACCCTTCTTTTACTGGTTCATTTGTGTACTTATTTCAGACCAAGTGCACTGAATCAAATTAACCATAATCTTTAGTTTACTTGACATACTCTTGTCTTCAGGATGTACAGATAAAGCTGTTTTTTCTCCCTCCTTCCACCCCTCCCCCCTTTTCTCTCCACCCTCCTTTTCTCTCCTTTTTTCCCTCATTTTCTCTCCCTCCTTCCTTCCTTTTCCCCTCCCTCCCTCAGAGGTTGTCATACTTTGGAAGATTTAAAGGGCATTTGAAAACCCTTTATTGTCTGCCTCTCTAACTAGAACGTAAGGTTCAAGACAATGAGAGAACCCTTTTGCTTTTTATTTGTGTTCTTATTACGTGAGAGGTACTATACTAAGCTCCTTTCACGTATTACGCCATTTAGTCCTCACACAATCTGTGAGATGTACAGTTATCATCTACCACTTAACAAAGAAGGGAGCTGAGGTTCAGAGGGTTAAGGAATATGACCAAGATCACACAGCAATTAGGTGGCAAAGCCAGACAAGAACTAGGCTGTCTGGCTCTTCACCACATGCTGACTCAGGAAAGTGGCAGCATGGAGCACAATAACCGAGTGGTACTCAAACATTGAATTTATAAGGTTTCTATAAGAGATTTTCTCATTCTATAGAATAGGAAACTAAGGGAGACTTTTTAAAAAGCCACGGTCATAAAAATATTTTTGAATATTTTTTAGTAATGTGAAAAAAATGTTTGATATAACATACTGTTAAATTAAAAAAACAAAATAAAAGTAATGTCTGTCATTTAGGTAATATGGGTCTTCATACTTTGGAAATTGTTGATTGTCTCCCCAACTAGAATTTGAGTCCCTAGAGGGTTGGGCTATGCCAGATTGTTCACCACCTTGTTCTCAGGGTTTAGCAGAAGCAGAGTCCTGGGCAAATAGCCTTCATTGTTTATTGGATGAATAAATGTATGAATGAGGTTTCTAGAAGAGACTGGCTGGTACTCTGAATAACAAAGAAATCAAGGAAAGAAACAGTTATGAAAGTATTTTGAAGTGTTTTTCAGGGATTAAATATATTGTTAACCACAGTAAGTAGACAAAGCCAGAAAAAGTGTTTCTCAAACTTTTTGAAACACAACCCCTTTAGGTAAGATTTCCTTAAATGTTACCACTCTGTAATTTATATCATGAAAAAAAGATTTCTTCCTCTTTAGTTTTCCAAATACAAAATTAAATAATAATGAACATGCTTTTTCACAAAGCATGCGCTAGCCCCTCGTGAGAGTGTGGTGTGTTAATCCTCACTCCCATCCCCTCCATACAGAGCAGATTTTGCAAATTGGCTGTCCAAGTTCTGATCCTGGCTCACAGACCTGTTTGTGTAGCCTACTGGTGTTTTTCTTTCTTTTTTTAAGTAAACACATACACAAATGTATAGTGAATGCTGATTATCCAGATGCAACAAATATCAATTCATGGCCAATCTTCTTTCATTGACACAACTCTCTCGCCTGTATTATTTTAAAACAATCCCAGACATGCCATTTCATCTAAAAAATTGCAGTATGTCTTACAAAGGAAAGATTTCTTGTCATATTGTATGTGCAAATATGCTTTTTTCCCAGTTTGAATGAAGATACAAATGAAGTTCATTCATTATCACTGGTTTCTTTTTTTAAGCTATGGGTTGCCACTTCATCTCTTTACTTCCTCCCTTCCATTTTTTCGTTGAGTAAATCACTACTTGATCTTCAAATTTTTTTTGAATTAGTAGCCAATACTTACGTATCCAGGAGATTTCTCTTAAAGTAGACTTACAGCCTCTCTTAGAAAATCAGGAGGTCAGGTAACACAGGGCTTGAATTCTGGCATGACAGCAGTTAGCTAAAGCTTGCCCTTTTGCTGAGGATGTTTGCTCTCCTTTCCCATGGCCCCAAGCTGGCCCTCTTTCCTGTCTCAGCCACTTGCCTGGGATCTGTGAGCATTTGAGTGTGTATGTCTTGTCTTAGAGGTTACCTCCCTATAACTTGGAGGAAGAAGTGGGCTTTCAGTTTGGTTCTTTAAAGAAAAATATATATGTCTATATTTGTCTATACTACTTTGTGAGTATAGGAAATTAAATTCTGGAAAGATAGAATGTTAATGGTCATTCTCTCTCAGGCAGGTTGAAATTATGAGGGACTTCTCTCCAGATTTATCTAACATTTCTACAATAAAGATGCATACTACAGAGTTTCAACATCACAAAAACCCCAATGTTATTTTTAAAAATCAGGTTCTCAATTACTATTTAACAATGTGGGAAAATGCCCATAGTGTAACATTAAGTGAACAAAAGAGGATACAAAACTGCGTATATGATCTGATTTTAATTGTGTGGGAAATGTATGTATTGGATGCATAGGAAAAATACAGGAAGGAAATACATAAAAATTTGAGGGTGGTTATCTAGATGGAAATTTGCTTTTTTATAGTTTTTGGATTTTCTCATTTTTTTCTAATGAACATGTATTGATTTTGTAATCAGAAAAAAGCATGTATAAAAGTAGACTAAAACAAGCACTTTTTTGAAAAGGCATTTTAGACAAGTGGATGTTTCCGGCGTAGCATCCACTTCTAGTGGAGCCTCTTGGTGTAAGGCACTTTCCCAGGCTTCTCTTCCCCATCCATCTTGCTAGCAAGGCCAAGCCTAAAGGCATTGGCCGTGGCTTGTCCTGCCTTGCTTTTGCCAACACACTCTGCTTCTGTCCCCCACCTCTAATGCTCCTCCCTTCTTGCCCCTAACATCTATACGACCCATTCTTCAGTGCAGCATCCTACTTAAGACCATGGCCTGTGGACTTAGGTTCAAGTGCTGAGGTCAGCCCTTCCTGGCTATGTGACTTGAGGTTAAGTCATTTCACCTCTCAGAGCCTCAGTTTCCTTAGCTAAAAATGGAATAATGATTGCGTCCCTTCCCCTATGTTGTTATGGAGATTAAATTAGATGCCTTGATAAGGAGAGTGGCATAGAACATGCCACAAAGTAAGTGCTCAAAATGTGTTAATTATTATCATTATTCTTCAGCATGTATTGAACAAAATGTACAGAGCTCTTGCCACATGCTGTGCTGGGCACTGGAGGGAGCAAGGTGCACAGGCAGGCATGGCTCCTGTGTCCATGGAGCCCCATTCCAGTGGGAGAGACAGACTTCAGTGAGGTAACTGAAGGAAAACTGTGATGAGTGCCACCAAAAGCCACCATCCTGTGTGGCTCTGTAAAATGGGCACATGTCCATGGGGGACCTCAGACTCTGAGAGGTGAAATGAGTCTCTCCAAGTCACAGAACTGGGAGTCTCTGAGAGTGTGTAAAAGGGGGACTTGGTTTGAAGCAGGGTCTGAGAGTGGGTCAGAACAGGCCTGAAGTGATCATGAAGCTAAGACCTGATGGACAGAGGAGGGGTGGCTCAGAAGCAGGGTGTAAGCATTCGAGGCAGAAGGTATAGATTGTGTGAAGGAACAGCATTTCTGAAGTGAAAGACTGGTGTGTTTGTGAGGCTGGCATTATAGCACATGTGACAGCACTTAGCCTGCCTGGTACCTGGCACACAGCAGCCCCTCAAAAGTTGAGTCTGGACGAGAATTAGGCTTGAGATGGATTAATGATTGTACATTGAGCGTTGACCCCCCTATACTGAATTTTATTGTTGTTAACAACCATTTGATCAATAAATATGAGAGATGCCCTCTCAAAAAAAAAAAAAAAGTTGAGTCTGCTCACTTTATTTCTATTCAAGGAGCTTTGTCCCTGAGTGAGACAGGCCCAAGATAGTGCAGTGCTGGCCTAGGCCAGATATTTCAGAATCCACCTCCTAAAAGGTTGTTTGTGGAGAACTAGGCAGCTGCAGGCAGAAATCCCACAACATCAAGAGGCCACCAAGGGAGCTTACCAAAACCTCACCGCTTCTAACCTGTGTGACTTGCCTCCAGACCCACTCTCTGGACCTGATGAAAGTATACACAGCCACCTTCTTGAGCATCTACCAGATGCAACTCCATGCATTCATTATCCCCCATCAATCGTAACCACTAATCCCATCAGCTCTATAACAAAGTAGGAGGACAGAGGCTGTGAGAGATGAGTTATTCAAAGTCACACAGCCAGGGGTGATGGAACTGGGATTTTGTCTCAGGCTCTGCGATTCCAAAGCCAAGCCTCTTGATCACTAGCAACACTTTCTAAAATTCATCTGTCCTTGTTCAGCTATTAGAACTGCCCAGCATGTGGACTTAGCCTTAGGCCAAGTCACAGGAGGGTCCAAAAGCAACCCCCCAACCTCCCAACATCTACTGAGTACCATCATACAGCCGCAGCCCCAGGCTAGGCGAAGGGAGGCTGGGGTGGCTGGGAAGGGCTCGTGACCTGGCACCCTCCCTGGGCCACTTCTAGGGCCTGGCTCTGGACATGGGAGGAGGCTGGGTTCTTTTTTTCCTTTCCCTAGCTCTCAGGTCAAATATGCCTGGGCTGCAAGTAAAGCAGAATTTATGATCCAAAAGAAACCATCTTTGTGTGAAGATGAAAATGAAGGCGGTAAGAATAGGAGACAGAATGAACTGGTCGCTGGTCACTTCACTGTGTCCAAAGGACTGACTCAGGGTGTGTACTGGAGGCAGAAGGGACAGGCAGGATACGCCGACAGAATGGGGGTAGGACATAGACATGAAGACTCAAGGACGACTCCTTGAGGTTTGGACTGATAACCAAGTGCGTGGTGCCTTTCCCTGGCAGTGAGGATGCTGCCGGAACATGTTCAGTGTGAGATGCTTCTTGGATGCCAGGAGATGCGAGGAGGCAGAGGGAAGTCTGGAGTTCAGGGGAGGCGGCAGGGCTGGGAACAGGGACTTGGGAGCCCACA